CCGTTTTATGAGCTTTCTGGCCACAGTGGTTAAGAGAAGCACCGCAGCTGATAAGTCGGTAACCGGGTTGTTAGTTATAAGGATTTTATATCTCTATATCTCTATCTATAGATGATAGATAGATATTGATGGATGGAGATAGATAGATAGATAGATAGATAGATAGATAGATAGATAGATAGATAGATAGATAGATAGATAGATAGATAGATAGATAGATAGATAGATAGATAGATAGATACAGACAGACAGACAGACAGACAGACAGATATGGATAGAGACAGACAGATATAGATAGATAGATGGATGGATAGATGATAGATATATAGATATATAGACAGATAGATATGGATAGGTACAGATAGATAGATAGATAGATAGATAGATAGATAGATAGATAGATAGATAGATAGATAGATAAATAGATAGATAGATAGATAGATAGATAGATAGAGATAGATAGATAGATAGATAGAGATAGATAGATAGATAGATAGAGATAGATAGATAGATAGATAGAGATAGATAGATAGATAGAGATAGATAGATAGATAGAGATAGATAGATAGATAGATAGATAGATAGATAGATAGATAGAGATAGATAGATAGATAGATAGATAGATAGATAGATAGATAGATAGAGACAGACAGACAGACAGACAGACAGACAGACAGACAGACATGGATAGACAGATAGATATGGATGGATGGATGGATAGATGATAGATAGACAGACAGATATGGATAGAGACAGACAGATAGACAGATATGGATGGATGGATGGATAGAGACAGACAGACATATATGGATAGATAGACATGGATGGATAGATGATAGATAGATGATAGATAGACAGATATGGATAGAGACAGAGACAGATAGACAGATATATATGGATGGATGGATGGATACAGACAGACAGATATGGATATGGATACAGATGATAGACAGACAGATATAGACAGACAGACAGATATAGACAGACAGATATAGATAGATAGATAGATAGATAGATAGATAGATAGATAGATAGATAGATAGATAGATAGATAGATATAGAGATATATACACACACCCATTTCATTCTGATGGTTTAGCTAAGCTTGTGTATCCGCCGTGCGCCCAGTAAACGGGCCGAACCCGAGGACCCGGGGCCCATCCTCACCAGTATTTCTTCTCCACTGTCGTATTTCTGTTCGATCTCCTTGCCCAGGTCTCCCTCAGGGAGACGCAGATCCTCTCGGACATCCCCGCTGTCCTGGAGCAGAGACAGGTAGCCATCCTGGATGCCAATAAGCTGCGACACAAGAGGGAGGGGAAGCGTCAACACGCGGCGGAATGAAGGGGAAATATCCCGACAGTGAGGACAATTCACCAGTGGAACAGCTCGCCACCCACCCACCCCCGGGCCTACCTACCTGGAAGTCATTTCTCTTGATGTTGGGCACGTCCATGTTGTGAGTTGAGGGGCAGATATCTTCGTATTTTTTCCCAGTGAAGATGTCTATGCCGACGAGATGCACCTAGGATTGCAGGAGAGGGAGAGAACGGCCTCAGCACAATGCCAGATAGTAGTAGTAGTAGTAGTAGTAGTAGTAGTAGTAGTAGTAGTAGTAGTAGTAGTAGTAGTAGTAGTAGCAGCAGCAGGAGGAGGAGGAGGAGGAGGAGGAGGAGGAGGAGGAGGAAAAGGACTGTGGGGTCCTTGGTGCTCTCTGAGCTTGCAGACATTTCATGATCCTACTAGGGAACATCATCAGTGCTAGAAGGGAGAAGGAAGGAAGGAAGGAAGGAAGGAAGGAAGGAAGGAAGGAAGGAAGGAAGGAA